ACAAAAACAATCCATATTTTAAATAAAATTCAACATTAAATTTATTTGCACACCACTAATTATCTTAGTACACACTATTTTCTCACTCTTTACTCAGTTCACATCACATCTAAATTAAAAATCTTGATTTTGTCCCAATCCACACCACCCTTTTTCAAATAATACCAAATTACTCTCTTTTCTAACAAACCCTAACTTTTAGCACAGCCATTTCCATAGCCTCCTTTCTCTCCTGCTACCACCATCAACCACTGCACCTGCCCAATCTTTATTGCAGGCCAATTGTCTCTCTTTAGCACATTCTGCTACCAGGCCAATCATCCCTCCCTAGCCTCCTCATCTACTCTCGCGATCACCACATCGTAACCTCCAACCGCAGTGAATCCCTCAACCTCCAAGCCCCACCCACTAGCACTACCCATCTCCATTTTTTGCTTCTTCTGAAACCCTAACCACCGTCATCATCTCTCATTCTCCTCATTCTCAAAACCTAACCCTCTTTCTCTCATTTTTGCCCCATTAAAATGCTAGCCCTAAGTTTTTACCGTCAAATATGAATCTCTCTCTCTCTCTCTCTCTCTCTCTCACTACAAGCTGCAATGGTAATAATGAAAGGTTCAATGGTGGAGGTTGCAAGTAGTGGGTTGCTAGGGATGATCATTGTAATGGTAGAGGCAGTGATGGGGTTGAGAATGTTACGACAAGTGTCGCAGCCAGTGACGAAGTGATTGGACATATAGTGGACTAAGAAATGGGTGGCGATGGGCTTGGTGAAGGAGGGAACAGGTTTTGGCAGTGAATGTGGCAGAGATTGGTAGTGTGGCTGGTAGTGGTGTGGATTGAGAAATGGATTAATAGATAAAAATGTAATTTGCTTAGGAGGTAAACAGTTCCGCTACGTAGCTCGAAATTGGCCCGAATTCAAAACGGCATCGTTTTGATTTTTTTTTTCTTTCAATAACTGGCAGAAGAAGAAGGAGGTGAAAAAGAAGAAGAAGAAGAAGAAGAAAGAAAGAAGAGAAGAGGATATGAGCAGAGAGAGAAAGAGAGAGAATCATCATCATCAACCAAACACATTATCATCATCACACATAAAGGTCAACCAAAAAACGAACCCACCATAGAGATCAACCCAAAAAAAAATGTAAAAATCTGGAAAAAAATTTCAACACATCATCCTCGTACACAGATTGTAACAACCCTCGCCACTGTTTACCGATAAACTACCGATTACCGCTAAACTGAGACTGATTATGAAAAGTAATTGAACTGGTTGAAATATTGAACTGACTGACTGAAATCTGAAACTGATTGATTGACTGTATCTGTTTAAATGCATTATCTATCTGTTTGACTGTTCGATTATCTGTTCATGTTTTATGTTTAAATTGCGAGTTGAAGGCCTTATCGGCGGCCGAACCGGAGATCGATTAGTGTTTCATGATCATCATAATTTATGTGATTTTATGGTGTCATTATCTGAAAACTGATTTGGTATGATTAAATTAGATTAAAATGGGCTAAATTACATAAGTTACCCTATTTACCTTATTGCCATCCTAGTGGCCCACTACCTAACACATTTGAGCCTTGCACTTGATCTCATAACACTTCTCCGTCAGCCATTTCAGAGGCCATAATCGACTAGAGTAAGAGAGTGAGAGAATAGGAGTGATTTCAACTTGATCTTTGTGATTTGGCTTGAAGAAATTAAAGGTTGATTACATAATTAAGCTCCTACACCTTAAACTCAAGACTTAGGTAAGGAGATTTCATCCTCTTGATTGTGTCTTTAAGTTGATTCATGCATGGTTCATGTCTAATTGAGGAGCTAAGTCATAATTTAGTTCTAACATGTTGAATTATAGCTTAATTCATGCATGTATGTTTGGATTGTTGAGTTTTGAGTTGTTTCCATGGAAAATTGTCACATGCATGCTCATAGTTATGTTAAGTCCATGTTTTCATCTTGTTTTTGGAACAATTGGCTCATTAGAGCTAGCATTGAAGCTTTGAAGTGGTTTTAACTCATGCATGTCGTGCTTGGATTGTGTTCTTGAAATTTGGTTGAAAATGAGTTTAATTGATCTTCCTTTGGGCTTTGATTTTACAAATTGAGCTTTGAGCCATGTAATATTATGAGTTTTGAAGTGTTTTCCAGAAAATGAGCCCAAAAGGATCGAATTTGGTGTTTGAAACTTGATTTTGAGCTTGAGGTTCGAATTTGGGAATTCCAGATTTTGAACTTACGCTCGAACGGGGTAACTGGCGCTCGAGCGTGGAAATCGTGCTCCCAGTATTTTGTTCTGTTTTTAAGTCAGCTCAAGCGGGGTAATTTACGCTCGAGCGGGACCTTGTGTCTTACGTTCGAGCAGATGTTGAGCGCCCAATCGAGCTTGGATTTCACCTATCCAGCACTTTTGACTGTTTTGAGGTACGCTCGAGCGGTTGAGTATGCGCTCGAGCGGAAACCTTTGTCTGCATGTACGCTCGAGCGGATTAACCTACGCTCGAGCGGGATCCTTATTTTCTGAAAATTCTGAAAATGCTTTTAAAGTGCATCTTTGCATCCTGATTTCATCCTAGGCATTCTTAGGTCTAGTTTAAGGCATCTTAATGAGGATATAGATGTAGAACCACACCGAGTCAAGATAGGGATTAAGTTATTATCTTTCCTAACTATGTAGCTTAGTGTGTGCTCAATCTGTAAACTGTGTAGGGTTGGCGACTGGGGACGCGCTCTAGCTTTACTGTAGCCCAGAACTCTGTGAGTAACAACTGTGTAAAGATATGTTCAAAATGATTATCTTCTGAACAATTGAACTGTACTGCTTTCTAAACTGATACTGTTAATTGAATGAATGTATGTCCTATATTCTGAACTATATTGTGGCATCCTTAGCAACTACTGTTACAGAGATCTCTGTCTGTTCCCTTGTTGAAACCATTACTGTTTACTGATTGATGGCCATCATTTATTGTTCGGTCTTTTAAGACCTACTGTTTACTGTACTGTTATTCTAATGGATGTACCACATATGACTGAATGACTGAAATACTGATTTAATGAACTGTTTTCATTACTGCAAGGACATTCATTCTTAACCTCTTTACGCATTACGTTATTCACTAGGCTTTAGCTCACTGCTCATATATATATGTAGGTGTACAGGCGCCAGACCGCGGCTAGAAGCATCAGGGTTAAGCTCCAGTTTTGTCAAGCCAACCTATGTGCCTCACTGTGAGGTTCCGAGCCTGTCAAGCTAAGGCTATGGGGTGTTTTAGTTTTCCCCCTTCTGTTCTGTTTTGTAAACTATAGACTGTTACCGTACTGTTTAATAAGAATTAGGTCCCTGAACTGAATGATTGTATATATGTACATACTGTTTTGTCACTAACTGCATATATGTATGAAAAAGTCTTTTGCATACAGACTGTCACAGCTCATTGGACATTGTTTATTTACTGTTTTGGCTTCCGCCATGCCCCTGTACTCTGTTTTATTGTATTACTGTTATGCAGGCCTTCGGTAATCTTGGATTACTGGCCGGTTACGGTGCTAAACCCATATGGGTGGGTTTGGGTCGTGACACAGATCGAAGGTTGGGCGATGGAGAAGAATCAAAGATTGGAGGCGGGCGATTGACGGGCAGTGGAACAGAATAGGAAATCGGAGGCGGCAATCGACCCCCCCTCTCTCTCTATTCCCTCTTCCCCTCTCTTCTCTCTCTCTCTCTCTCTTTTTCTCTTTCTCTTCCTCTTTTTCTCTTTTCTCTCTGCTCTCTTTGTTTCAGACATATAAGGAGGGAAAAAAAAACTGCCTAAAACAACGTCGTTTTGGGCAGTTGAGCCATTCGGGGCAGAGAGATTTCGAGCTACGAAGGATTATCAGGAGGTAAAAATGAAATTAAGAGAATTATGATGAGAGTGCTGTTAATAACATCCCAATTAATAATACTCTGGAGCTCCCATTTCTTTGAACGTCTACTTACAAAGTTCAAAATTGAAAAAATTACTAAGAACCCCTCGCATAATACTAAAACTATGATTCTTAAAACACTACACCCACCAAAATGCATACCCCTTCCTAAAAACTCTTCAAGTTTCTAAAACCTTAACAATTTATTACTCTCAAAAGTATTTGAAAATCGACCTCTCTCACGTTCAAACTCATTGTGTCGTTGATCTCTTTTCACCTTTGATCTTTCATCGCCGACCTCATGGGACCATGTTTAGATTTGTTCTAAACTATGTTGGACACTGAACTTTCAAACAAACGAAATTAATTTAGTTAGACCTTGCCGAATTACTGTTTATAATTCATCTTATATTGCTATTTTTTGGCATATATTTTGGAGTTCAGTATCAAAAAACGTCGAATCGTTTACATTATTATTATTATTATTTGTATGTTTGAAAAACCACACCATTACAAGGTCAACTTCTTTCAAGCTGTGAACCATTGTGATGTTCCATTCGTTTTCATAATATTGGGGTTGTCGGAAAAACTTTCACTCATTACAATTGTCGGAAAAGTGCAAACTGTCTAAGGCTTTCTAGAGAATACTAGCTGGCATTGTCAGAGAAGCTTACACAAATTGGGTGTTATGAAGATTTTGAAGTATATGGGTAATAATAGAGGTGTATACTCTAAAAAATCCTACGTTATGATTTGGTGAGAGATTTAATTGTGAGATGAGATCTTTTAATTACATTCACATCTTTTTTAATAATTTTATTTGAGATATTATTATAATAAAAAAATCCAAATAATAAGTTGAGTGCTAATGCATTCTTTAAGTTATGTGCAAACAACGACACTACAAATTTATCATTATCAACTCAGAATTTTATTTAAAAAAAATTAATAATTCAAATTTATTTTAAATATAGGTCTCATATTTTATCAATTCAAATTTCATTACATAAATACATTCAGAATAAATTCTTAAATTTTTTATCCATAAAGGTGGATCCCTACCATTTTTCCTGTGAAAATGGATGTATTTGTAATTTTAATTTTTTAGAGAGAGATTGGGTGTGTGCGCGCTATCTTTTCCCTCGCGCTTGTAAATAGAAGCACCCGTCATTTACGTTTTCGGACACTTGTAGATCATCGCCCAAGCAGTGCCTTTCTCTCTCTGTCTCTCTCATATCGATCTTATTCGATGTCGTGTATTCTTATGGTGGCCCTGGCTCTGTTTCTCTTGATCTTCGGAGCTTTTCCATCATCATCATGGGCTTCAATTGATTCTGGTTCAATTCTGAGCACTGTTATCGACAACAACAACAACAACAACAAGGGCGATCAGCCTGATTTCGCTGTCGATTTGAACGCCACGAATTTCGATGCTGTTCTGAGGGACACACCATCTACCCACGCTATTGTCCAATTCTCCGCTAACTGGTCTGTAACTTTTTTGTTTCTTTCTAGTGTGTTTGCTTGTGTTTAGTAGTCGTTTGTTTGGTCTGCTCAAATTAAGATTTTTACTTCGTTCCAGTTTTCAGTCTTTATGTATATTTAATGCTCCAGTTTTACTGTGTTGATAATTCTTTATGGGCATGTTTGATTGGGTGGATTAAAGCATGTTATTGAGATTATTAATCCGTAGGCTCGATTATCTCACGTTTGTTTTAACATTTTGGTTTAAGATTATTAATTCAATGGATAATTAATCCAATAAATTTGTAGGATTATTAGTAATAGGATAGGTGTGAGATTATTAATCTAATAGATATTAATCCAATTGGATAGTGATTAACACACTAATTTAATACTAATTTAATAGAATGATTAATAGTTCGCTATTAATCTTGTGAATCAAACATGACCTATAGGATCTATCCAATCCTGTTTGGTAACTTTGATTTGCAGTTTTCTCCTTGTTTTTTTTGGTTTCTGTTTTCATTATTAATAAACAAGTTGTAAACATTTTCCAAAATTTACTTAATTTTATAAGCATGGGCCTGTGTTGTTAAATTTGATGAAAATGAGGTCCAATCCTTTCATCAAACTTGTATCAAATCAAGGGAGAAGCCAATTTTTCATCAAACCAAGGATGAACCGAATCTTTCACCAGATTTCCAACAAGCCTTTTTCCACTTAATTTTGATGAAATTGTTAAAATATCAAGGATTGGAGCTGGATTTTTTCACCAAAATTTATGAAAAGTGAAATTTTGGATGAGAAAGTAATTTTTTAAAAAGATTTTGATGAAAGGATTTGAGTAGCTCATATCAAATCAAGCTTGTTACTCAAATTTGGAAACATGTGCCTTTTTGTAATATATGGTGTGCTTGAAGGATCAGAATAGGTGTACTTTTGATGATATAGAGTTCTTGATCCTGAATCTGAAATATTTGATGGTGAACTTTCTTTAGGTGATTTGAATTTTTTTGTAGGCAACACAGTTTTGGGGGGCTCAATTATATCCTGCATGTATGCTTACAAATAAACAATTAATGCAATTCTTTGATAACTTCCTTGCACATTTTTTATCTTGGCTAGTGGTAGGAAAGTTGACCTCGGTTTTGACTAGAGGAATAAGGTGATAAATACTAACCGCCTCATTCTCATTCTCCTTAGTGATACCGAAATCAAATTAAGACAGCAAATGAAGCAGTGTTACGAGAAAACACTAATACCGTAGTGATTTACGTTTTGAAATGAACGTTCCAAAACATGGAACACTTTCATTTCAAAATAGTGAATTTAGCGATCCAAAAAATAGTTTCCAATATAAACCTTAAAATTTACTTTGGGAGGGGAAAAAACTTAATAAAATGTGTTGTAACATGATTAATTTGAAAAAGAAAAGCTAATTGTTAAAAGAAAATTGCTCTAGAAGTACACTAAATTCTAGAGTTTAATCTAAATATGTCTAACCTTATCATATCACATTTTAAAGAATTTTAAAGAATGTGTCCTGTTCCGTGTACTAAAAAGATCTACGTTCCAAGTAACATAGAAATGAAGTTTTTTATGCTCTTGTAATGCCCTACATTTTTTGACTAGCATTTTGACATCCTATTTATCCATAACGAAGTTAATGATCACTATGATAACTGATTCTTATTATTCTTTAATCACTCTAGGATCACTACAAGACAACAAATGAATTTATTTATGCTCTCATAACGTCTCACAAAAGCATTATGATTTCCCAATTTCGATAAAATGCTAATGATCGCTATATGCTAGTAGCCTTCTCTTCTTTTGTAAATTCATAGGAGATATGGTTGGTGAACGACAACCATTGGTAAAATTTCAGGTAGCTTTTGGTTTAGTTTTAGAATTATGATTTGAGAATGAAGTTGAATTTTGAGGTTGTGAGTTGTGCAATCATAATTTGAGAAGAAAATTTTTTGTTTAGTTATGAGTTTTGAAAAGAATTTTGAATTTTTGAAATGAATTTTGAAATAAGAAAAGTTGTTTAGTTATGAGTTTTGAAAAGAGTTTTTAAAACTTAATTTAAAAACTTATAACTCATAACCAAACACACAACTTAAAACTCTATTGAAAATTCTATTCAAAACTCATAACCAAACTCTTTTTAAAATTCAATTCAAAAAAATAATTATTGAAAAATATAATTTTTTTATTTAAAAAATTCAAAAACTTCTGAAAATATTTTTTTATTTAAAAAATAAAATTTAAAAATATTCTGAAATTATTTTTTATTCAAATAATAATTTATATATTTTAAAAATATCAAAATCAAATATATATATATATATTTTTCTTCAAATAACAGGTGGCAATTGCCCAAAAAAAAAAAATACTGTTCCAGTCAAGTCAACCGGCGGATGTCCAGGAGGACGACGCCGGTAGACCCCAATTTCAAAATTCAAAATTAAAAAACTCACTCTGCCAAACATATTCTGAAAAGAATTTTCAAACGCGGATGTGGAATCAATTTTTGAAAAACTATATCCAAACACAACACTGAAATATGGGTGTGGAATTATGATTCCTCACCTAAACCAAACACAGTCTCAGTTTTTCAGCACCACATCAAGCTGTCATAGGATATATATACATATATGAATGTTTGCCTGTTCATGTGCAATACCATGCATTTTGTGCTCCTGACATCTTCTTGTGGGCCCATGGGAGAAGAAAGGGTGCATTCCGTAATGAACTAAAAATATATTAGATAGCTTTTATAACCTTAGACAAAGAAACAAGATATTTTGAGTAAAGTTTTTGCTCTAAATCCATGGAGGGCATATGATCATGTATACTTGGGTTGCAAGTGTCAATTTTGGGAAACACATAACTATACTTTCAGTATTTTTACCAAATAATTTAGATACTGATGGCTTATAGGTATGAAAATGCTGAACTTTCGTTACTGTTGTCCATGTTACAGTATTAGTTCTTTACAATGCTTTATTGGTCTTTGCAGGTGCCCAGCTTGCAGAATGTACAAGGTAATAGGGTGTTTCTCTTGCTGAATGTTTGTGTTTAGCAATCTTAAATTAAAATGGGGAAATATTTCTTAATGTTTCTATTGCTCGAGCCACACTTGCAGCCACATTACGAAAAGGTAGCGAGGGCTTTTCAATGGACCTGAAGCAGTTCATCCGGGGATCATTATTGATGACAAGGGTAGACTGTGCATTGAAGGTATTGTTGCTGTGCTTACATGATACTTCCTCCATGGGTGGGATTATGCTCTGTAAAAATAACTGATGTATTATTATTTGATTGATGCTTTTGAGCTGATGTATTTTAACAAGATTGGATTAATTACAATTCCTATACCATCTAAATATATAGAAGAAAATGTGGTATAGGTGTAAGTGGAGGTGATAAAGTGGGCATTAGGTGAAGTGGAGTGTGTGGTGAAAGTGGGAGTTAGGTGAAGTGGAGTGTGTAGTTGTAAAAATAACTGATGTATTATTATTGATTGATGCTGTTGATGTATTACAAGATTGATGTAATTACAATTCCTATACAATCTATATATAGAAGAAATGTGGTAGTAGGTGTAGTGGAGGTGAATAGTGGGTTGGTGAAGTCGGAGTGTGTGGTGAAAGTGGGGTAGGTGAAGTGGAAGTGTGTACGTGGAGTAGGTGAAAGGTAAAAGATGGGAAATTCTAACAGCGGCCCCGCACACTCAAGGAGGAGAGAAACTAACAACTTGAGTTTTGGAGAGAGTAACAAAACAAGAAAATACATAAAAATAAAAAAGGATAGAGACACTGTATGGGTCGTGTCAGAACGCGTTGTGAAGACACTGTATGGGTGTCATAACGTTGTTAGAAGACACTGTATGGTGGTGTTCAGACCGATGTAGAAGACAGTTTTATGGGGTCATGTCGGACCGTGTGAAGACAGTTTATGGGGTCATGTCGGAACCGTTTGTAATAGGACAGTTTAATGAAGTCTTGCTGGACCCTATGTAGAAACTAACGGATTAATGTCCGGGACAGTTCAGAGTTTGTCGGACCCTTGTAGGAAACTAACGCGGAATCTAAAATGTCGGTGATCAGTTTAAAGCAGAGTCTTCGTCGGACCATAAAGGAGCTAACCGGAATCACATGTTCCCGGGACAGTTTACAGAGTCTTGTTCGACGCCCTTAAAAAATTCGCATCTCAAGAAGGTCGCGCAATTTTTAAAAAGGCGTGCCATCAAAAGGCGTGCCCCAATTTATCAAAAAGTGTGCCGGACGATGAAGGCGAGGCCGTGGGCGCCTTGGCTTGCGTGCCTGTTTTGTCGGCTGGTGGGGTAAGCAGACGCGATGCGCAGTGGCTGCTCGGCTATAAAACGGAGGCTGAGGCTGAGGCTGAGGCAGACGAGTCTGAAACCTCCTGAACGCTCGGAGAGCTTTTGTCTCTTGCAAATCTGAAACACCTGGAAACCAACCTTCTCTGAAACACTTAGCAAACTCAAAAAACATTGGCCTCTTTCTTCCCGGCCAGTTACTCCAAACCTCTCACACGCTCTTTCCAGAACTGAACGAGCCCACAAGAGAAATAACTGGTGCGGTGGCCAGTGAACCGCAGACCAAACACTCTGGTTTTTGCTCCATTGAAACTTTCCGATGCGGTCGTGGAGCAAAAATGGCGATGCAAACTGATATTGAGGGCGCCTAATCAGTATATCCTGAAAGTCATGCGTGGAAACCATGACGGCGGTCCAAATTTGTCTGAAACGCGGCTAGCAGATGTAGAGACACGAAAATGAGGTGCAGCATTTAAACGCCCAGCTGGCGCTGCTCCAACGCATGTATAAAGGATGCGCGAGCAGAGAAATAAGCGTGCTAAGGACAGAAAACAAGGAGCTGAAGCGGAAGGCCACCGTGAATGTTTCCGATTTGGAGAGACCGCATATCTCGGCATGGAGGAGTATGGGGGAGTGAAACGGGCTCGGCGGCGTGGAAAACACGGGCAGCAACGTCAAGGGCGGCTCAGGCACGGAGGCAAAGAAGACGAGACCTGCAGTAGAGTAGAGAAGAAAAATACCCACTGTGGGTGTGTTGTTCTTGTTTGTGTTGTGTTTTTTTTTTTTATTTTATTTTTATTTTTTTTTTGTGATGTAAAATGGTGAAACGGGGTGAGGCCCCGACATGAATAAAGGAGTTTTGGTTGTTCAGTCCATCTTCGTTGTTTGTTTTTTTTTTTTTTTTGTTTTTTTTTTTTTTCTCTCTCTCTCTCTCTCTCTCGTTTGGAACGCAGAAACCATGTGCGCCGATGGGTGATAGGAAAAACATTTTGAGAGGTGCGAATATAAAACAAATAAAAAAATAAAAAGAAG